TGCCAAGAATGTTGATTGAAATCGACTCTCCGGATACGAATGCTCATTTGCAATGCCCCATGGTTCTCTCACATGCTCTTGCAGCTAACAGAATCTTCTTCAACTGTTTTCCCAATTGAGATGAGATATTTGGGGATCAAGTAGAGCATTTAATGTAATAAGTGGGCAGTAATCTTCAGAGGTTAATTTATTTAGAGCCGATGTAAGGTTGGGGATCCCATATGCCCTGTTAGGAACAAGGACCATTATAATCTATTACTGTTTAAAGTTGAGCTAGCACATAAATTTTAATTCTCTCCGAAATGAAGATGTATTTCAGTAGCTGGAATGCTAATATGCCTAATAATATTCTTATAAAGAAGTTCAATGAGCTTTTTAACCTAAAGAAAATAGTTTTCAAAATAGTCTTTTAGAATAAAAGTCTCATATTACAAACTAACCAGAGAGAGAGAAGAAAAGGGAAGGGAGAAGGGAGAAAGGGAGGGTGGAAGAAAGGGAGGGAAGGAAGGGAGGAAGGAAGGAAGGAAGGAAGGAGAAAAGAAAAAAGGAGAAGGAAGAAATGTGTCCATCATTTCTTTTTTCTGTTGCCACATAATCAGCTCCCTTTACTTTGGAGCTGAAAGACACGTTTGGCTCTGTGTTTGTTGCGGGGCGCAGGGAATGTTCATGCCAGTGCTAAGGCTTGAACTCAAAGGCACTGCCCATTACTTTCTTTGCTCAAGGCTAGCACTCAACCACTTGAGCCCCACCTGCACTTCTAGCTTTTTGGTAGTTAAATGGAGATAAGAAGATGCTCACCCACTTACTGACTTTTCTGCCCAAATCTGGCTATGAACCATGATTCTCAGATCTCAGCCTCCTGAGATCTGAGGATTACAGGCTGGAGCCTCTGGCACCCAGCTTGGTTTCACAGTTTATCCTGATATACCTCATAAGGTCTAATTTGTATTCATGATTTCTGAAACCTGGAAGGTGGCCATAACCAGCTGTGGAAGGCACTTCCCTTCACTACACAACAGGCCCCATCCTCAGGCTGCCAGAGGCCCCCGAGCCACGCCCATCAGCTATAGCAAGGCTGGTGAGCCCACTTTCAGCCACTGCGGAAGGACAGAGGTGGGAACATCTCATTATAGAGCCCAGCAATGGTGGCAAATGATATAGAAGCTCCATGGCCAGCGTTTCTCTTTCTTCCTGATTGACTCTAAAGACGCTATGAAAATCAGAATGTCTGGTCTGGAATTGAAATGCCTAGAACAGATTTCTATTCTTTATTTTTTCCTTGTTGAGATCATGACTGGATTGAGTGCCTGAAAGGATAACAGAATCAAGGTTTAGTTTTCATTTTTATCATTGCAAATACATTTACATTCCCCTCCTTTTTTTTTTTTCTTTACAAATGCAAAGAGCAGGCAAGCCACTTTCAATAATTTATTTTAAAATCAATGCTAATGAGGTTCTGTCTCGTCAGTGGCCGAGTTTTACAATAAAGTCTGATTTATTTAGAAAAGATCTTCGGTGTAGCCTCCCATCTAATGGCGGTGGGAAGGAGGTGGAGTCACAAGCACTGTGACCCTCCAACTTCGGATCCAATTTGTAATTCACAGCGGAGATCTGACCCAATTTACATTGATTAGAATTGGGAGGAAGAGACAGCTGTGCACAAGACAGCAGAGGTGGAGTAAGACCTCTCTGCAAAAGTGCCTAAGCACAGCAAATTATTGGTCTTTGTGATTAAGTTGTTTGATATCAGCAAAAGAGCAGCTCTCTGTCCAAATTATTGAGATCTGTGAAGTGAGGTTGGAACCAATTCTTACTCTAGAGTTTTCAATCCGTGTAAAATTATCCCTCGCACTCAAAAAAGAAGAAGAAGAAGAAGAAGGAAAAGCATCCTAGCAGAGGAAGGAAGGAAGTGGACAGTAATGGGAAGACAATGTGCAGAGAATGATGCTTAAGGTGATTGATTTCATCAGGGCCTGTTTCCTCTATTTGATTTCATTCCTCCCATTATCTAGAGCTTTATTCTTTGGGAGTGGCACTTCAGGTGGAAAGGAGGAAAACCTCTGCTACTGAGTCTTGCATGGAGATGAGAATCAGAGGAGTCCTTTCCCCAGAGCATCTGTAGGACAATGTATACATACATACAGAAGTGTAGAACTGGGACCGAACTCAGGGCCTTGACTATGCAACTGGCTTTTTCATTCAAGGCTGGGCCTCTACCACTTGATCCATACATCCATGTCTGGATTTTTGCTGGTTAATTGGAGCTAAGAGTCTCATAGACTTTCCTACCTGGGCTGGCTCCAAACTTCGATCCTCAGATCTCAACCTCCTGAGTAGCTAGGATTATAAGCATGAGCCACCAGATTCTAGCAGAATAAATATATATATATATATGAATATATATATGAATATATATGAATATTTATATATGACAGGTGAGATGCTTCTCTGGAGAAGTATATATACTTGAGAAATGCATATATAAAGTTATATATATATATGTGTGTGTGTGTGTGTGTGTGTGTGTATGCATATATAATACCTATATAACTTTTGAAAGGCATAGTCACTTTTTTTATTTTTTTATTTTTTCGGAGGGGAGTCCAGTCGTGGGGCCTGAACTTTGGGCCTGGGCGCTGTCCCTCAGCTCTTCAGCTCAAGGCTAGCGCTCTACCACTTGAGCCACAGCTCCACTTCTGGCTTTTTTCTTTTTGCTTATGTGGTGCTGAGGAATCGAACCCAGGGCCTCATGCATGCAAGGCAAGCGCTCTACCACTGAGCCACTTTCCCAGCCCATAGTCTCTTTTTTTAATGTTCTGTAGTATTCTAATATATCGGTTATGCTGTTTCTTCTCACCTTTGAGCTTGGAATTTATTTTTCCCAATCTGACATACTAGAACTATGAAACTTATATATATGAAGGAAAAAAGAAAGAAAAGGAGAATGTTCCCAGGTCATCCCCTCAAAATTCCATCTGTATTCTAGGTTTTATGGCACTGCTTTGTCTTACCTAGAAAGAAAGAGAAAGAGAGAGAGAGAAGGAAATGCAGCCAGGAGAAATTAAATTAGCTCTCAAAACATTGCTTATAATGCTCCATTGACTGTGGGGGAGGTGGGAAGAAGGGTAAAAAGAGCAGCAATGTATTTTTGCTCATTTTGCCCCATGTATAAAATTACTAAATGTAATTTTGGTACACATGCTTTCTTTACAAAGGCTCAATTCCTGTGTTATCAAGTTGTATGAAGCCTGAGATGAAACAGGTTAATGAGGGTAAAAAACTTAAGCCAATCATGTTGTGACTTTAGCCATATAAACACTTGACTGGAGTTAGACACTAGCATTGACTTAGAACCCATTGTGAATCTACAGCAATTAATTAAAAGACCATTCCAACTGCCCTCAGGAGCTTATACTCTAATGAACAAGGCAGGCTGAATGAAAACAGTAAAAAGATAACTCCAAGCCCCAAGTACTAGGAACATAAAATGATAAACATGACCAGCCTTTGTTACAGCTGAGCAAAGATGGCTACATTAAAGACTAATTAATCACAGAGGGGTTAAACACCCAGTTCCAATCACATCCACACACACATGCATACACACACACACACACACACACACACTCATGTTCTAACTAGAATGGCTAAATTCAGAGAGGCTGCTAGATAGCAAATACGAGAGAGAATTCCAGAAGGGAAGGAGACATGGAAGTTGAGGGAACATCTGGCATGCTAGAAGCCCCACTCATGTCCATGGCTTCTCCCAGCTTCCTACGGTAGCATCTTACCTGCAGGAAGCACACAGAATGTATAGAAATGAGCCAGGCACTGGTGACTGGTGCCTGTAACCGTAGCTCTTCAGGAAGTTGAGATCTGAGGATCAAGGTTTGAGGCCAACCTGGGCAGATGATCCAAGAGATGGTTATCTCCAATTAACTAGCAAAAAAAAAAAAAAAAGGCAGAAGAAGAGATGTGGCTCAAGTGGTAGCTCACTAGCCTTGAGCAGAAAAAGCAAAGGGAAAGTGTAAAGCCCTAAGTTCAAGCTCCAGTACAAACACACACACACACACACACACACACACACACACACACACACAGTGGGGGGTGGGGGGAGGCAGAAAGGGCCAGCCAGCTTGAAGGTGAGAGATGATTATAAAAGAACACAGGGCTGGGAAGGTGGCTCAGTGGTAGAGTACATACCTTGCATGCATGAGGCCCTGGGTTCGATTCCTCAGCACCACATAACCAGAAAAAGCTGGAAGTGGCGCTGTGGCTCAAGTGGTAGAGCGCTTGCCTTGAGCTGAAGAGCTGAGGGACAGCGCCCAGGCCCAGAGCTCAGGCCCCACAACCAACAACAACAAAAAAAAAAACAAAACAATAATCACACTCTCCTTAAAGAAGAGAGTATCCTAACATCCCAGATACAGTACCCAACAGAACCCATGCATGTAGTATTCTAAGCCCAAATCCACAATCAAAAAGTTACCATAGAAACCATGAAGGGGTGATATTGATCAAGACGCATTGTACTCATAAACTGATGTGTTGAATTGTACAGCAACTTAATAAGGATTTTTTTTAATACAGAAAAAGAGAGAGTGAGAGGGAGGAAGAAAGGAAGGGAGGGGGAGGGAGGAGGAAGGGAGGAGGAGGGAGGGGGAAGGAGGGGGAGGGAGAAAGAGAAAAAGAAAGAGGGAGGGAGAGGAGGAATAAAGAAAGAAAGGGAACGAGAAGAGGGAAGAGAAGGGGAAGGGAAGAGAGGAAACAAGAGGGGAGGGGAATGTTCTAGACGGATATAATGGCTCATGCTTACAATGCTAACACTCAGGATACTGAGGAAGGAGGATTGTGAGTTGGAGGCCAGCTTGGGCTGTGTAGCAAGATTCTATCTCCAAACAGAACTAAGAAAGAGACAAAGAGAGATGAGCTCAGAGCAGACACTCCCTCCGTGTAGACTGTCCCCACAGACTGCTAACATTGACCACTTGTTCCCTCAGATGAAGAGCATGATGGGGAAGAGGAAGAGCATGGTGCTGGGCGAAGAGGAGGTGAGCATGTGTCCCACACAGTGGCGGGTTCAAGCTTCTGGCTCAAAGCAATAGCATTAACAGACTCGCTGATAAATACAAGTCCTGTATACAACCCCAAACGCCCCAAATAAAGTAACTAGCTAAGGAAATCCCTTAACTTTAAAAGCAGTCATTCCATCACTTTAATTAATGTTCCCAGAATGGCTAAGATTTATCCTAGAGAGAGAAGCCAAACTAGATATTTGTTTTTTCCTATCAGTATTTCTTAAATCAGTACAGTGGAAATAGAATTGCCTCATCTCTAAAAGATCAGAGGACTGAGAATGGAAAGAATGGAAATGTCTCTTCTCTGAGAGGCCTGAAGATTGCTAGTTGAGAGGGGGAATGGAAATGTGTCAGATCTGAAAAGTGAACGCAGGGTGAAGGATAGAATCACGGCCACAGAGCTGACTTCTGATGGCCTGGTTTGATTCCAGGCACATTTGGAAATGAATATGTAACAGGGTTGTTGAATACCAAATTACAGCTTATTCATCCCAGACTGTTAACTATGCTCCAGGCTTTTAGAGAGCCTACCCCTCCTAAAGTCAGATGCCCCCTGGGCACCTCCTGAAGTGTAGGAGGAACCTATTACTTCATTGTCATTGAAGGAAAGCCTGGCGTGGCCAGAGCTGCCTCACATCCAATCATTCCATCCTCTGAACCTGAATCAGAGATGAGGTAAGATACAAGCTGATCTTTCTTAGGATCTATGAACATCTTGAGCCTGGGAATTATTTCCCTCATTTTCTTCCGGCTCCATTTCCCTGGCCCTAGCTTTTTCCTATTCTCCCCTCCTGCTTTCCTTCTGCTTTTTCTTCTCCCTACCCATCCAAGCAAAACCCCTTCTCCTTTTTCATTCTCTAAAGGCAGCGAATCTTAAAAGGTTTCATGAGCTGGGGGCTGGTGGCTCACACCTATACTCCTAATTACTCAGGAGGCTGAGTATCACAGTTCAAAGCCAGCCCGGGCAAGAAAGTCCATGAGACTCTTATCTCCAATAAAGCACCAGAAAACTGGAAGTGCTGCTGTGGCTCAAGTGGTAGAGTGCTTGCCTTGAGCTGAAGAGCTCAGGGACAGCACCCAGGCCCAGAGTTCAAGCCCCACAACCGACCAAAAAAAAAAAAAAGTTTTCATGAAGGACCCAAGGAAGAGAAAATTCAGGCAACGTCAGACATCAGATACCAAAAGCAGGAGAGAAAGAAAGCAACATGAGTCAGCTGCCAATGGCTCACACCTGTAATCCTAGCGACTCAGGAAGCTGAGATCTGGGGATCACAGTTCAAAGCTAACCAAGGCAGAAAACTCTCAGACTCTTGTCTCCAATTACTCAGCAAGAAGCCAGAAGTGGAACTGTGGTTTAAGTGGTAGAAAGCCAGCCTTGAGCACATGGTCCTGAGTTCAAGTCCCCATACCAGCACAAAATAAAGAAAAGAAAGCAAATGGGATAAGTGTGGTACAGGGATGTTAGGACACTTCATACTTGATAGTGGTTAACACATAGAATTCATCCAAGCCAAAACCTAGGTTCTACTATTTTCTACTTGCTCTATAGACTTGCACCAGAAAGTCTATTCTGACCAAGCATGTCCCTCGTAAGTCTTTTCTCAGCCAACCTCCATCACTAGCATGAAAAAGAAGCACTGCATGTGGGCAGCTTGGCTACAATAACTTCCATTCAGGAAGCATCAGTCTTCTGGCAAAGACTCCTTAAAGAGACTCTGCTCTCTCTCTAAGGTTATTATCTTGGGAGGCAAGAGTTGTTTGTGGTTATTTTTGTTTTTTGTCGGTTGTGGGGCTTGAACTCAGAGCCTGGGTGCTGCCCCTGAGCCTCTTTCTGCTCAAGGCTAGCACTGTCATACTTGAGCCACAGCACCATTTCCTGATTTTGAGTGATTAATTCAAGATAAGAGTCTCACAGGGACTTTTCTGCCCAGGCTGGCTTAACTGGCTTGAACTCAGGGCCTCATGTGATTGGCTTTTTATACCTTCACTTCCTGCTTTTTGCTGGTGAACTGGAGATAAAAGTGTCTCATGGATTTGTACACCTAGCCTGGCTTTAAATCTTCTTCAGATCACAGGTTTCTGAGTAGCTAAGATTATAGGTGCAAGCCACCAGTACCTGGCAAGAGATGTAGTTCTTTATAGTTCCAATACGTGTAACTCAAGTAGGTTTCTAAAAAAAAAATAGAGATTTTTTTCATTCCTCATGTTTTCTGCCTCCAAAATAGGTATTGTTAAAGTAGAGTGAGCTCTAAATATGTTTCTGTGGTTTATATTTCCCTCCCATTATAATGATTAGTGGCCTAGTGATTAAAAAACAGAAGGACTTTCTGCTCTCTCTGCAGAATCTGAGGCAGGAATTTTTATTCTCTGTGTTTACTTATTTATTTATTGAATTTATATAATGCCTGTTCTCTAATGGAGCTATAGAAACTGCTACAAATATGTAACATCCAAATGTCATTGCTCAGTTTTACAAGAAAATATAAAGGTCTGGGGGAAAGCAAGCAGCTTCAATGAATGCATTTAAAAGGCAGGAATCCCAGAATTCAAGCCCCAGTACTGTGAATGAATGAATGAATGAAATGAAAAGTAAGGAGCTTTGAGAAATTGTGAATTCTTAGGTCAGAGTCAAGCTACATAAGTTTGCTTCATTTTAGTTTTTCTTGATACTACATGTTTTAGAGGAGAGAGTTAGGCAGATAGATAGATAGATAGATAGATAGATAGATAGATAGATAGATAGATAGATAGATAGATAGATTTTTTTTAAGTAAACTGGCCTTCCTTTTCTTCATTTTCTCTTAAAGATACTGTAGCTGACCAGATCATCTTTCAAAATCCAAGTACCTTTCTCTAAGGGTACTTTTCCCTCAATGCTGGCCTACTCCCTTGGCAGTATCTCTAACATTTTGAAAGCCCAACTAGGTCTTATCGGGAAGTAGGAGGGAGACAAAGAATTCAGTTTATCCTTATTGAGTGTTAATGACCCTGTGAGATGTAATTTCTTTTATTTTATTCTGTTACCTAGAAAATCTATCACAGCCTTGTAGTATTGATTGTTCAATCTATAAAGAGCTCTGTTTACAGCCTGCCTGTTAGTAACAGGGTTATTTTAATGAGTGATTTGTCAACACCTCAAATTTTTCTCTAAATTACAACCATCAGCCTCAGGTGAGTCTAATGCTTAGGGTCTAATACTAAGGGTCATGGGTGATGAGTGCTTAGCTCCCTTTCTTACCATCTTTTAACTGTCGGGGTAATCCAAAGTAACACTTGTCTAGATGCTGGTGGCTCAAGCCTATAATCCTACCTACTTCGGATGCAGAGATCTGAGGATCCAGGTTCAAAGCTAGCATGGGCAGGAAAGTCCATGAGACTCTTGTGTTTTTTTAGGCCTGAGACTGGGACTTGGGACTTGAACTTGGTACCTGCTACTTTCACTCACTGACTAGCGCTCTCCCAACTGAGCTACACTTCCAACCCCAAGAGACTCTTTTCTCAATTAACCCCCAAAAATGCCAGAAGTGGAGCTGTGGCTCAGGTGGTAGAGCACAAAAGCTCAGAGACAACACCAAAGCCCTGAGTTCAAGTGCCAGGATACACATACAACACACACACACACACACACACACACACACACACACACACACACACAAGATTGCTTATAAGCAATGGGACAGTGAAAAAGAAACCCAAGAAACTGAGATGACACTAGCCCCGGGGGTGGGGGGGGGCCGGGGACAAAGGCTGTCTTTCTCTCCCCTTTTTAGCTATCCACCTTAGAAATTATTCGAATTCTACTGCGAGCATATGTGACTCCTGTGAAATAAAATAAACTGAAATATGCTAAAATAACAAAAAAAATAAGCATACCATCTCAGAGGCACTCTGAGTGCCAACTTTAGTGCCCACCAATAAAGAACTGCTATATAGAAGAGACCAGAGGTCAGGCATACACTTGTAACTCTTACCTTTTGAAACCTGTTTCTCAAGACCAACCATGACTTTCTACCAGCTAAAATTTTGACCCAACAAAAGGAGTGTAGGAGGTGAAAATCAGGATCTATGAGTGTTCCCCATTTCTAAATCATCTTTATAATCCTAAAAACCATGGTAATTTCAGAATTCAAGGTTAAACAGCTAGGGATATAAGCAAATGAATAGCCAGGTACAGTGGCACATTTCTGTAATCCCTGAAACAGGAGGTTGGCAAAGTTGAGATCAGCCTAAATTATACAGTGAGTTCCAGGCCAGGGCCTTTCTCCAAAATAAGGAGAAAAAGTAATAAAAAGAAGCAAAATGAGCAGATGCTCTTCCTACTCTAGTGCCATAGTCAGTAGAATCTGGGAGATTTTTTTTCATACTTTCCTTCTGAAACTTGTAATAAAGTATCAGGCAGTCTGCTTTAATAAACTGAATATGGTGGTCCTTTCTGCCCTAGAGGATATTTCAGGGAGCTTTCCTCGGGTCACAGCATTGTCCACACTCTAGTAGGTTTTGTCCTCTCAGTTTTCTCTCTTTTCCACAATTTACATGGATGTGCCCGATGCCAAACCTCATGGACGCAGCCCTTTAACTCATTAAGCAAAGGTAGCTGGGCACCAGTGCTCACATTTGTAATCCTAATACTTGAGAGGCAGTTCAGGGCAGCAAAGTTTTCTAGACCCCTCTTCAACAGAGCTTGGTGCGGTGGCATGCACCTGTTATACTAGCTATGTAGAAAGGCTTAAAATAAGTGGATTGAAGCCCAGATATGCATCTAGACAACCAGTGCCTAGCCATTGCTAAGTAGAGTGCCTACTTTGCAAACGTGAGGACCTGAGTTCAAACCTCAGTACCACAAGAAATGTAAACAAGAAGCCAATTTACCATTTTTCCCTGGTTACAATTTAAATTCTGGAGTTATCCAAAGTCTCCCAGACAAAAATATGAACCCCAAAAGGAATACAGTCAGGTTCTCCTATCCCAGAGGA